AAAAAAAAAAAAAGAATGACAGAGGAAAAAAAAGAGAGAAGACACGAATTACCAATATCAGGAGTCAAACAGGGGCTATCACATAACAGCCCCTGGAGATATCAAAAAGATGATAAAGCAATACTCTGAGCAACTCTACACATATACATTTGATAATTAGATGTGAAATGAATCAACTGTCCAGAAAACAAGGACTATCACAACTTACCCAATAGGAAATGGACCATTTGAATAGCCTTATAACTATCAGGGAAACTGAATTTCTAAATTTAAAACTCACGAAAAAGAAATCTCCAGGCCTGTATGGTTTCGCTGGAGAATGCTATCAAGTGTTTCAGGAAGAGGCAATACCAATTCTTCACAATCTCTTAGAGAAAATGAGAGGAGGGTTAACCTTCCAACTCATTTCATGAAGTCACTATTACACCGATCCCGAAGCCAGACAGAGAGTCTAAAAAAAGAAAACTGCAGGCCAACAGCCCTCATGAATATAGATGCAAAAAACCTTAACAAAATGTTAGCAAATAAAATTCAGCAATATTTTTAAAGCGCTGTAGGCCATGGAATTCATCCCAGGGATGCAAGGTTGGTTAAATATTCAAAAATCAATGTGACCCACAATAGTAATAGTCTAAAAAGAAACATCACACGGTAATATCAATCAATGCGGAAAAAGCACTTGACAAAACTCAGCACTCATTCACGGGGAAAAAACTCCCACCCTTCTCCAGCCCCCCAAAACAGGAATGAAGCGGAACTCCTTCAACTCAATAAGGAACATCTACCCAAAACCTGCAGCTAGCGTTTACGGAAATGGTGCGAGATGGAAAGCTGAGCGTGCGCCCCCTAAGATCAGGAACAAGGCAAAGCGGTCCCTCTCATCACTCTTCAATTCAATCCAATCACTGACATCAATTAGCGTTAGTGAAGAATTCAAACGGGTTATGTGGCATAAGGGAACTCAAACAACAGCAGTACCACACAGACAGAGCCCTAAGAAACCCTCCTAACCCTGATGTAAAGATCTCTTTCCAATTAGCCTCTGGTCCCTTCCCCTCCCAAAAAGACATCTAATGACAACTAGTTTCTCTGGATATGAAACATCCATGTGACATACCCAGGGGACTACAACAGGAAATCTAAATATAAAGCTCAATCCTAGTTTTGGTTTACGATCAGTAGGAAGAGCCATTTCTTAATCTGCCTTAATACAAATTTAATTAGAATGCTACCTAATCTCCTCATCTGATATCTATATTTACCTGCTAATAAGAAGTTTTAGAAGATGGATTTAATGACCCTTTCACTGAACCAGTGGCAGAAGACAGAATTTGCTTAAAATATCTGTTCTGATCATACTTGCTTCAATACTTCCTTGGCATGGAAATTTTGCCAGGAAAATTTTAACGCCAAGTCCTGACAGAACCCTTAGTTTTTCCCTAAGTAACAAAGACAAAAATGAAAAAGAGATATAATTTACCATGTTCCCGATGTATTGGCAGAAATTTCTCTAAGGTATGAATAACATATTAATTTATAGGTCACCACTGATTTTTAAGTAAAGGACTGAAAATTGTATCAATGGCTAATTTTCTTTTTTTTTTTTTAAGATTTTATTTATTTATTTATTTGACAGAGAGAGACACAGCGAGAGAGGGAACACAAGCAGGGGGAGTGGGAGACGGAGAAGCAGCCTTCCCGCTGAGCAGGGAGACTGATGCGGGGCTCGATCCCAGACCCCGGGATCATGACCTGAGCCGAAGGCGGACGCTTAACGACTGAGCCATCCAAGCAGGCGCCCCAACAATGGCTAATTTTCTTAGTTATAATAAAAAAAATACTTTTGTTCAAATTAGGGTTTATTTTTCTCATGTAACAAGAAATCAAGAGGTACACAAGCAGGACTGGGAACGATGGCTCCATAATGTCACCACTGTCCGGGTTCCATCATCCTTGGCGAGAGGCTTTTATCTTCATGGTCACAAAAACCTACACTACCTTCAGCCTCAAGCTCATGTTGAAAGGACTTTTGTGTGTGTGCGCGCGCACATGCGTGCGTACGTGCATATGTGTGTGTGTGAGAGAGAGATACTCAAATATTCTATTTCTGAACTTCCTACAGTAGTAGATTGGTGGTTCCACAAGTCCTCTGAAACCACCCTCCTCCTGAACAGAGGGAAGAAGCTGCCCCCAGGGCTTTGGCCACAATTATCTTCTAGACAAAAGCTACAGTGGAATCTAAAACTTAAAATGCTACTCCCCAAGGGCATTTACCACAGCACAAAGTGCTCTTGTCCATGACAGGCTCAAGGGAAGGGAACTGCGCACAGCGCTCCCACGACACAGCAATCTGCAGGGCGAGGGTTTGCACGGGGCTAGGGTTGCTTGGTTTTGTTTTTAAGACAACACAAAGGAATGGGTAATGTCGGCCTGAATGAATGGTACCCAAGGCTACCATGAATGAGTTGGTCAGAATTACGGACTATTTGAGTGACCTCAGTGTTACGTGTCTGATCCAGTCATAAGCAGAGAGGGATCACAGGAGTCCTTTAGTTCGATGCCTGGTTCAACTTCTTGGATGACCCACGAGGTTGTATCGCCGTGAGGTTTAAAACTCAAAATGGACATGGGGCGCCTGGGTGGCTCAGTCGTTAAGCGTCTTGCCTTCAGCTCAGGTCATGATCCCAGGGTCCTGGGATCAAGCCCCGCATCGGGCTCCCTGCTCGGCGGGAAGCCCGCTTCTCCGTCTCCCACTCCCCCTGCTTGTGTTCCCTCTCTCGCTGTGTCTCTCTCTGTCAAATAAATAAGTAAAATCTTGTAAAACTCGAAATGGACAGTGTCGTGGCTATGGAGAGATGCATTTCATCTATGAATCATTTAAAAAAAAAAAACTCCTTAAAGACAAATCTCCTTTCCTCAGCTTATGTATCAGTATGAGCTTCATGGAAAGAAATTTAAAAATTGACAGGTATTTTCTAAACCAAACATAAAACAGCACAGCATCGAACTTAAAATTCCCTCAGCAGCATCCTCAATCTTCCCAACAAGACATCTTTACTCCATCAAGCTGATCTCTTCTACCATCCCCCAAGCTCCCTCTGCTCAATGCTACCACAGATCCTCTGTGGTTTTTGTCCTGTCCCCACCAATCGCTATGACTTGGATTGTCCTCTCCTCTCATCTGGGCCTATCCACAGCCTCCATGTCTTTGAGGGCTCAGCTCAAGCCCTACCTCCTCCCCAAAGCCTCTTCCCATCTCTCCACCCACAGCACACTCCCTGTCCACTGATGATCTGCTATGGAGTTCACACATTACCATCATCTATCACTTTACACGGTCTGTTATTGGTTTCATCTCCAGCTGTTAGCTCTCCCCCAGACTCCAAATCCATAAGGACAACTACCTGCTGGAAATCTTCCGAACTACGATTCTCTGGCGCCTCTACTCCACGTGTCCAAAGCAACTCTTCATCTTCAGTGCCGACCACCCACCCAATACACACACACACACACACACACACACACCCTCTTCATCCTCTCTATTAATGGAGTTCAGCACGTATTAAACATTTCCTATATTTCCTGTGTCAAAACCACTGTTAGGCGCTCTGGAGACAGAAAGCTGACAAAGATGAGTAAGTCCTTGTCGCCCTACGTGTCCGGTGAGCCAGGCATCCCTCTTTGGCTCACCATTCTCCACAGCACCCCGCATTTAACTCCATCACTGAGCTTATCCTACCACATTCTAAAAGATCTCCCCCCACTTGCTAGACTAAGAACACGAGGGCAAAACTCATGTCTCGCTTTCTCTGCCTCACCAGTGCCCAGGACAGAGCCTGATAGCCCAGTCGTGGCAAAGAACCCTTTGCTGGCTGGCGAGGTGCACGACACCACATGCCCTTAAAGAGCTCACCCTCAAGCTGGACCCCTAGACTTGGAGTTATCCTCACCTCTTCCCTTTTGCTCATAACATCAGTGAATTTTCTCTACTGTATTTTAACAGTATCTACTGCACCCACCCACTTCTTCTGCTCCACTACTGCAAAAGTGGCTCGTACCACTACCTGGACTGCCTAGATCTGAGTAAGAGCCTCTACTGGCTTCCCCACACCCTCGTTGCTTGGCCACCCAGCCCCCACACCACCGCTAGAAAGAGCTTTTGGAACCACACGTGATCCCCTGCTTTTCGTTGACACCCTTCTTCATGTGGCTCCAGCCAAGGAAGGCCCCACTCCTCTTGACTTGCCTTCCCCTCAACCCAAGTCACCCTACCACCCACTCCGTGCCCTCCGACTTCCATTCTTTGACTTCCTAACGCCCTCCAACCTCCCACCTGCAGAAGCTTCTCTTCATCCCTCAAGACCCAATTTAGTGCTTCCCCCCGCCCCTAGGTTACTGTTAACAGAATCATTTCTTTACTGCTCCAACAGCATCTTATCTAGGCTTAGAGCTTTGCCTGTGTTACTTAGCTTGTGCTACCCGTTACAGTTGGTAATGTCCACACCTAGCTTGGCCACTAGACTGTAAGGTCCTTGGAGGCAGGGTCCATGAGGGCAGACTATTATAGCCCCCCCACCACTACTACCCAGTATCTAACTGACACTCAGTGAACAAGCCGAGCAGAACGTAATGACCTGCCCCACAGTATTCGTTCATTTTACATACATTTCCTGAGCCTAAACAAAACAGAAGAACATCTCTGCCCTCATGGCACGTACATTCTCATGGTAAGATACAGACAGTGAATGAAATAAATAAGCACATGTATACCACCTTAGATGGAGAGAAGTGGTAAACAAACAAACAAACAAACAAAAACAGAGCGGGGAAGGGGGACAGGGGCAATGGGCATAAGGTTCGGTTTTCTCGGGTGATCAAGACCACCAGCTCAAAGTAACTGAAAGATGTAGCAAGGGGTAAAAATCAGCTGTGAGAATCATCAAAACCAAGGAAATTCCAAGCAAGGCCTGTGAAAATATTTCAGGGCTCAACAGAAACGTCGGGATTCCCAGTAATGAAAAATGCTAAGGGGTGCCTGGCTGGCTCAGTCGGTAGAGTGTGCGACTCTTGATCTCGGGGTTGGGAGTTCAAGCCCCACGTTGGGTGTAGAGTTATGTAAAAATAGAATCTTAAAAAAAATGCTAAGAAGTCTACACATACACATATAATTATAAATCCGTTAGCAAACATTTATTCCATTAAAGGAGATGCCCCCGCCCCACCCCCACTGCCCTTAAATGAACACACAACCCAGAAAGTGTGCAAATTAAACTTTCTCTTAAATGCTTTAGGGGAAAAAAGCTCCTAACAGTGGTTATCTGGAGGAGGGTGCAAAGGAGAGAGGAATTCGTATTATCTACATTACACATCTCTGTAATGTTTTAATTCATTTACAGTGAGCCTATAATTATATTAGTTAATAGTATTAATTTTTAGGCATTAAGAAAACAATAAAGACATCTACGAAAGGAAAAAAATGCACTGAGGAGCTAACTACTCCTCAGTAGGAGTAGTAAATATTTTGGGGAAGTGAAGAGATACAATAATGGGAATAACTGAACACTATGTTATGTGTACTGTGACATAGCTTTATACATCAGGGCTCTTTGGTAATATAGGCAGGGCCTACTTTCTTAAATAAGAAAAGGCAAGGAAGTTACCTAAGAAAGTTCTAGAAAGACTACTGAAGAATTATTAGATTTCATTCTCTGGATATTATTATGAAAGAGGGTAAGTAGTTAGCAGTATACAATGAGTTAAGGACAATCTTCTTCAGAATCAAAATGGCCAGACAGCTTGCAGTCCTACGGTTGTTATTTCTCGAACACATCTCTGAGGCATTTAGACTTAGGTCTGCTTAAAGGGCTTAGGGCTAAAAAAAGGAAGTTAGCACATGGCCTCTTATTATTGTTTTCTATCATGGTGAGTCTTGGAGCAGCAGGAAGGACTATGCACTGTAGTCCACGGGCTAGAATTAGTAGACAGAACGGGACATAGTTAAGGTGGAACAGTTGTCTGAGCTTTGAATTCTTTGGCTTTTTTAGGCTTTTGCTGCCTTGATGTAATCTAAATACAACTTTGTTTCAAAATATCTAATCACAGACTTTCCCCCCCAGTTCTCTTCTACCCTTATTGTTGGCACGCATGCGCAGATACAAAGAGTTTCTGGGAACCAGTTAAAACTATAAGATTCGCAGCAGGAATACAAGAAAGTACAAGAGTCACGTTCAAAAAGGCTTTTAAAAGATCCACTTACCACTGGATTTAATTTCTCGGACATAATTACTAGGGAACCAGCCTGTTCTGCCATTTAATGTGCCTTCCCACCAGCCTCCTTCTTCCACTCTGGTGACATAAATGATGTCCCCTTTACAAACCGACAGTTCATCTTCGTTAGTCTGCTTAAAGTTGAATCTTGCCTTTACTATCAACTGATGGCTTCCATTTTCTGTCATCTCCTAGAGAAACGAAAGCCAGATTAAGCAGCCCTCTAAATGGGGCAGGGGCAGAAATTAAATGAATTGAGGCAAATAAAGTGGGGTGAGCAAGGATGAAACCCCAGGTCTACCTCAGTCTTGAGTTGTTAGCTGAGGAGTGGGACTGGGGGGTGGGGGAGGTTAAGAAGCTGCTCGGAAGCGCATGCAACCTTTTGCATTTCTGAGAATGTGTGTTTTGAAGGGGGTCGTAGCTTTCATTTCCCTCTCCCTCACCAGTGACCTAAAGATAACTTGTTTAAATGAGCCGGGAAACAGAGTAGAATGATAAACCATTCCACCCTGCCTCTACCCAACACACAGACACGGTCTTACATAATTACACGGCCAAGATTAGGTATGAATCCACCCATAACATCTGCCTCCCACCTCCCGATTGCTAAGAATATCTTAAATTGGCTAAGATTTAGTCATACGCAAACATCAAATACCCCATCGTTACCTGAGTCGGGGTTCGTTAACCTGTCATGGGCCCCTCTGAGAAGCTGATGAGCACAAGGGATCTTTGCTCAAAACACAGCCCCAGAAGTTCACATGCAGGAGATTTTGCACACAATCTGAGAGGGTCCCAGGGCTGTGGAACTGCAGTGTTCATCAGCTCCTCAGAGGGATCGTGATCTCAAAAGTTTAAGCACTTTGGAAGTAGTTAAAGTGCCTTGGAAGTAAGAGCTCCTGATGGCTTGGAGCAAGTGGGTGGCTTCTGACAAGGAATAAAGTCTCTAGCGAGCAGAAGACAGGCGGTTCCTCCCAAAGAAAAGCTCCCGTCAAGACCAAATGCAAAGATAATGGGGCTACAGCCACTGCGGGAGCTCCTCACAGGCTCCCTAGGAATGCAAAGAGAAAAATAAAATGGTGATAACGATGATGAGAGCAAGTAATAGGTATTGATTGCCTCTGCTGTGCTAGGCACAATCTCATTCCCCTAAGAAATGACAGCAAACTGCCATCAGGAAGTAGTTACCATGACTTCCATTTGCACAGCCTCCTCCGCCACACGACTCACTCAGTTCGAGGAAGGGAAGGAACTCTGGGGCTTCAACCCCGGGTCTCTGACCCTCTGGCCCACAGGCCTGAACTGGCACTGGGTTTCAGAGTAGTTTTGGGGGCAATGCCCCCAACACACAGGCCAGTTATCTCATCACAGATGCAGAGGAAACCGGGACTGGAGCCGGCGGGGGGGTGGTCTCATTTGACGGATTCCAGAACAGGCAAGGGGAATTGGGTTCTATACTTACCACCGCCTTTGACTGCCTCTGCAGGCCTGGGGCTGTGCTAACAACTGTTGTCTGCGGGTTTGTCTGAGAACTGTTAGCAGCACTAAGAGAAGAGGAACGTCCACATGGTCTTTCTGAGAGCTGATCTGTGAAAAGAGGAAAAGGCAAGATAAAGGGAACCGCTCATGTCAGAAACACAGCTACAACATCACGTCATCTTTCATGGGACATTATCAAAGGCCCCCGGGGCCGTCCTCCTCACTGTTAGCATTAGGATCGTGCCCAAGTGTATCTCATTCCCCCCCACCCCCACCCCCTCCAGTTTGGTGGCCAACTTCCTTCTGCGGAGCCTTACTGGCCATTGCTGTCCAGTAGAATGAAAAACAGCGACAAAGCCACATTTTCGCTTAACCCATTTCCCTACCACTCTCCCCTCTTGAACCAGTTGCAACAGTACGCCCTGTTAGCCAAGGCAGAACTATATTGGGTACCAAACAGCTGTTTGTGGCTCTTATTACTTTGAAATATTTCAAACTTCTCTCTTTGTGTTTTGGCCCTTAACTGGGTGGTTCTGTCTTCCTCGTAGGCAGCAGTACGTGTGGTGTCTGTAATGTAAACTCTCCCCCGGAGCCTGGGGGTGGGGGGTTGGGGGGGAGGAGAAGGCGAATCGGAGAGAGAATGTGTGTCTGGGAGAGATGCAATCTTGATACCAGGATTCTTCTTTTAAAAAATCAAACTCAAGAATCTTCTCTTCCTTGAAACCTTGTGAAATTCGATCAGACCAGCGCTGAGCTGGATGTTTTCCGTATGCTGACAGCGTGCTAAAGAGAGGAGCTGGCTTCTTGACAAATTCAAATGAGGGTTCTTTTCCTCTCCATTTATTTTTAAAAGACATAAACTGCAAAAGTCTAAAGCCCAAACATTCCCTAGGCGACAAGCTCAGTATCCAAGTAATTTCCTTGATGCTGTGGGTTTTAACTTTCACCTCCTTGTATTTTATAAATATCTGTGGCAAGGGAAGAGACTGTAAAACTTGCTAGCAGAGTTTGGCAAAGGAACGTATAATTTGTATGGCATAATGTTAGAATTATACGATCCTCCCTGCCCAACACTGGGTGGTTGTCATGTGTGTTAAATATAGTTACTTGAATTAGCTGTACTTTCTGCTATACGCCTTGCAATAGCTCAAAAGCATTTTTTTTCCCAAATAGCAAAAGAACAACTCTAGAGAAGTATTTTTACATATTTTGCTATTATATACAGCTCTTTTGACTAAAACTATAATTACTTGATAGCTTCCTAGATGTTCCATTCTATTTGGCACTTGACTATATTATCTGCTCTTGTTTGCTAATTGTTTCACGTGGGTAAGTTGAGTCTCCCTAAACAGACAGTCATTTTCTCAAGGGCGGGGACCATATCTTACACTTCCTTTGTGGCACCTGGCAGTGCTGGGCACACAGCCTATTGACTCTCCAATGGTATGAACAGCAAGAGTCATGCTTGGGCATAAGGGTCCTGGGGTCAATCCGATGGCAGCTGGATCCCAGCTCTGCCACTTTCCAACTGGGCAACTGTGGGCCTGACTTCCCTTATCTGTAACATGGACCTAATAATAATACCTACCCCCAGAGTCGTTTCAAAGATGAGACCACCGATGGTTCTTAGAATTGCTTAGACCCATGGTGAGGGCTCAACGCATTTTAACTCTGGTTATTTCCACCCAGCTGTAGGTAAGATGCTGTCTCACAGAAGGAGTGAAGTTATACTCCAAGGTATCAGCGTTTTCTTCACATTCATTAGGATTTATATTCAATATCTCCAATGTGGTAGCTATTAAGCATTTAAATAAAAAAAAAATACTCTTTTCACTCACTATGAACCTGAGGTTTCGTTTCCAGAGCGAGGTTACTGACAACTTCCTTTACATGGACGGATACACACAAAAATCTATGAGAAAAACACGTCTGTAGGGGGGACAAGGAAGTAACAGCTATCTTCTGTAAAGTTTATGAAAAAGAGAACTGGTCTTTTCCTTTTCATTTTCTGTCTTGTTATACTCCGTTGCTTATTCCATAGCTTCGAACAAAATAGTTTCTTGGTTATCATTATATGAAGGGCATTACAGTAACATCTGTGAGAGGCATGTTAAAATCCTCAAGTATGAACAATTAAAGCATGTGACACCCACTGGGATTTATTTTCGAGGAGAGGAGAAATCTGCCCCATTCGAACAGTCCTGGCCACAGCTGGCTCCTAGGGGAATGAGAAGCCCGTGGGTCCAAACATGTCACGCACCACTCATAAATCACAAACCCTGCTTACCTTCTGTTGCTTTGTTGACAGCTAAAAGAGTGCTCAGAACCTTGGAGAAGTTGACCCCTGAATAAAGGTCATCAGGATCAAATACCTATGAGAAAGGAAATTGAAACTGTCAGACACTGTAAGGATTCAACTCAGCAAACCAGACTATGAAACAGCCACTTCCTCTGGCTCTCAGGAGACAAAAATGTACAAGCCGAGACCCAAACCTCTGTATACCTTCGGGAGAAGTGAAAGCAGCAGCTGAGCCACCCAATGACATGTGGCAGGCCATCGGTGAGTCAGAGCGAAGCGGTGATGGGAAATGAGAGCCAAGCTGAGAAGCAGGGCCCACAGCAAACGCGCTCGCCTGACCTGAGCATGTCAACATTCAGCCCGGTTCCAGGAAACCCAAATGCATGGGCTCCAGTTCATGCCCATCACCTACACAACGTCCTTACAGTCCGCCAAGAAGGTGCTGGAGCCTTTCTGAGATGTTTCCAAGTGTGCAGTTCAATCACCGGGTTCAGTAGGGCCACCGTCCACACTGCCTTGTCCTCTGCTCCGTCCTCCCCGCTGCCACCCACTGGGTCCCAATGGCCTGGGATCCTAACTCCACGCTGCCCAAACTTTTCCAAGGCCTGCCTTTGGTTCCCGACCTGGGTTCCTGATTTCTGCTGCTTGACCTTGCCCCTCTCAGCTCGTCTTCATGGATTTGAACCTGTGCTGGCTCTTCCTGGCCTCAGGTGACTTTTCCAGATGGGACCTCTGGCCTTCCGAACACTGCTCAACCATCAGCAACAAATCATGAAACAAATACAACACTTCACTTTGCCTTCATTCTGATATGCCACTGTCCCTAGGGAAGACACCAGTCAGCTGTTGTTTTAGATACAAACTAATTGTTGATTTATAAATGTATTCCACGTATGAAAATGTTTGGACAATTCTTCTAGTCTCCTATATGTGTATTTGAAACTAGAAGTATCCTCAAACATAGGCACAATCTATGAGTTTGCCAGCCAACAATGTAGATATACTTCTGTATAGGAAACCCATGTTCTGGATGGAAATGCACCTTCTAAAAACATTTCTTTCCAGGAGGTCTAGAAGTTTGAATCTTCTTTTCCCAGATGCAGTGATAGGAATAAAATGTACCTTTTCATGTGGGACAAGACTGGTAATGGGCTTTCCCATTAGATAGAGCCAGCCGTGTCATTCCTAATCTGCGTGTTTTCTGGGAGCCACGTCAAGGCAAAATTTTCTCTTCTTTGTGTACATATTCTTCAAGACCTAAACTCTGTCTCTAGAATGAAAATATACAGTAGTCATTTTTTTTTTCAAATTGGGAGGGGGCATCAATATAGATAATGTATGCACATGTGAGCCTATAGAAGTCTGCCTCTTCTGGGAGTCACGACTGTACTATTCGTTTAATCAATGAATGTTTTGCATTCAAACAATATGACTGAAGAGCCCAATCACAACTAAAAATGACACACCAGAGGCACCTGGGTGGCTCAGTCAGTTAAGCCACCGCCTCTTGATTTTGGCTCAGGTCAGGATCTCAGGATCAGGACTGAAGCCCTGCCTCAGGCTCTGCGCTCAGTGGGGAGTCTGCTTCAGGATTCTCTCTCTCCCTCTGCCCCTCCCCCCATCACATGCACGCACTCGTGCTCCCTCTCTCGAAAATAAATAAATCAATCTTTGAAAAAATAAAAATGACACACTAATCTACTTTTAGTAAAGGGGTAATCCCAATATTACTAAAGAGTCAAATGACACTACAGTCCAAATATGTTTCTGAATGCTGCAATATAAAATTCAAAGTTGTCCAAGAATAAATGCGTAGGCATTCTGTTTTAGTTTGCCAAAGTCTGGGTGAACAAGATACAACAGACCCTGGAGAGAGAACCTAGTATCCCAGAGGATTCCAGATTCACTGAACCTCCCTTAGAGCACATCAGTGGGAAAGTGTTAACGACATGTATGCCAAAATGGTAACAAAGCAAAAAATTCACTCGCTTTAGCCCATAATTCCTAACGGGAGCGTGAATATGTGTGTGCATGTGGATACGTGTGTTGGGTAGGTGTGGTGGAGATGGGGAGAGCCTGAAATAAGAAGCAGAAGTAAATGTTAGCAGAATGAGGCAGGAGAGCAAAAACTGATAAAAAACCTCTCCCTTTCTTTTTCTGTTGCTCCTTATCCAGGTTAACTGACTGCCCATACGTGGCAACACTGGCGTTATTCACTTATATGGGCACTTGGCTGAAATTAAGACAAATAGCCTGATCAGAAAATGAAACGTGCATCATCAGCAAGAGTCACTGCATCTGCTTGAGGGGAGCTGCCTGGACTATACAGTTTCCTTTTTAGAAAAACCCGATACACTAGAGTTTACCCACGGACACTGTTTTTCTCACTGCAAGCCTATTCTGTAGCACTAGGAGCTACACAGGAAGGAGCTGGAAGAAGCCTCTAGGGAGGAGTAGAGGAAGCAAAGCCTAAGAGTTACGATTTCAGAGCGGTGGAAAGATTAAATATAACCAGGAACACTGTCCACAACACCACACCCTTCCAAACCTCAAACTGCATGCTAGTAAACATTCCACTCTGGACTCTGCCTCCATGCACTGAGACCGGCCCCCTGCTAAAACGGAAACATTTGGAGGGAGCACAACACGTTCAGCTGTTAACAGTCTTTTAGACCTTCATGGAAATGAGAGGCATGAGACCAAGTTTAGAGACGATGGTGTGAAAAACCTAAAGGCACTGGTGCCCAGCTGGGAAAAAGCAGAATTGTCCAACGTGGAGGGGGTATGGGGAGAACACGGAGAAGTAGGCTGTGGGACAGGCCATTTGCCTCGGACTAATCCCGACCATTTATACATGCAAAATGGAGAAGCAATTCCCCTTTTCTATCTGCAAAGCACTGGGGCTTGTGAAAGGAAATGCAGATTTGCATATTTACGATGCCTGTGCTTTTCCAACATGAAGCTGTGATGATACTCGTCTTCTGCTACTCTGTGCAAGCCTCACTAGCCTGTTTAGTATGGCATGAAGCTGAGTCCCAGATGAGCGGAACTTTCTCTCTACCACTTGGGTCCAGAAATTAGCTGGTTCGTTTCCAGTTGGATCTGCCAAGGTCAGATGAACAGCAGGATTCCCTCCCTCCATTGACCACAAACAACTGTGATGCACACAAAAAAGGACTGCTTCTCAGACTACTGCCTAGTGCTTTCAAGGTCGCTCCTGCAATGGGATGAGGCAAGGTTCAAGGATAACAGCAACAACAAACATTTACTCCACTCTGGGTGAGCGACAGGAGGGACAGAGATGAAACTTCAGGAAAGATGTTTGTTTTTTTTGTTTGTTATTTTTTTTTAAGCACTGTTGACCCTTGAACAGTACGGGTTTGAACTGTGCAGGTCCACTGACACATGGATTTTTTTCAATAAATACAGTACAGTACCGTACATGTATTTTTCTCTTCCTTATGAAGTTCTTAATAACATGTTCTTTTCTCTAGCTTACTTTATTGTAAGAATGCAGTATATAATACATATAACATGCAAAATACATGTTAATTGACTATTGATGTCATCAGTGAGGCTTCGGGTCAATTTACATAAGGCTACCTAAGGTCCAATTCTACATCAGCAGCTGAACTCAGACAAGACATTTTATTTTGTTTAAAGATTTTATTTGGGGCACCTGGGTGGCTCAGTCGGTTAAGCATCTGCCTTTGGCTCAGGTCATGATCCCAGGGTCCTGGGATCGAGCCCCGCATTGGGCTCCCTGTTCAGTGGGGAGTCTGCTTCTCCCTCTATGCCTCCCCCTGCTCATGCTCTCTCTCTCTCTCTCTCTTTCTCTCCCCCTCAAATAAAATCTTTAAAAAAATAAAATTTTAAAAAAGAATTTATTTATTTATTTGAGAGGGAGAGAGAAAGTGTGTGCATGGGTGGGGAGGGGCAAAGGAAGAGGGAGAGAGAATCTCCAGCAGACTCCTTGCTGAGTGCGGAGCCCAATGCGGGGCTCGATCTCACAACCCTGAGATCAGGACCCGAGCCGAAACCAAGAGTCGGACACTTAACCGACTCCACTACCCAGGCCCCCCACAAGACATTTAATCTTTAAATGTTTCTGCACATTTTAATATTTTGGATATCCACAATGACAGCAAAACTTCTTTTCCATCCACTAAACACCAGGTGTTAATTCTGAACAGTTGGGGATCTGGCAGTATTAACCACACAGAAGTTTACATTTTCATGGCTTTACATATAGACCCTTTTGGAGTAGTTTTCAGTTTCAATATGTAGGCTATTTTATGACATTTTCCCTAAACTGACCAACACAAGGAAGCACATGAGAGGAAAATCTCCAACCCCCCTGCTCCATTCCCTCACTAATCTTACAGGGACAGGGTCCTGATTTCCTGAGCCCCTGCCATGCGCTGACACCGTGATTGCAGATTTTATATATATATATATAAATATATATATACACACATACCCATGTCCATTCATTGCACGTGATTCTCCCAGCAAGTCTGTAACGTAGGTACAATTATTTCCCCCATTCTATAGATGAGCAAATTGCACTCCGAGTGGTTAACTCACAAGGCAAGAGATCCAAGAAAGTGCTCTGAGGGGCAGTTTAGCCCTGTCTGTATACTTTCCACTGTCACGAGGCATTCGAAAGAAGAAAAAGAGTTCTGCGCCTTTATGCACAAAAAGCAGTCCCTTGCCGCTGTCACTATGATCCGCGTCTGTACCATCTGCAGCAAGTCTGTTACAACCTCTAAGATGACTAATTCCACTAATCGTGGCAAAGAGAAAACCTCCCATATTACAAGCCTGTCTCCAAGGGGCCGTGCCTGATTCCGGCGCTGGCCTTCTCATTTCAAGCCCTGACCCGACCCAGTAGGCACCTGCTCCTGTTTGCAGGAAGCGGGGGAGGGCTGCACCGAGCTACCCCTATTCTATTCGTTCATCTGGTTCCACCTTGCGAGCCGCCGTCCATGTTTGTGAGGTGTCGGCTGGGCGGGGGTCCAGCCCGTGGTTACAGGGCCACGCTAAACCATCCCCTGGCACCTTGCTCTAACC